TCCATGAGCTTAAGGCGCAATTTCAAGACTTGCAACTGATAAATTGAGCAGATCACCGTGCCGATATATTGGCGATTTTCTGGCCGAGCGGCCGCTGCACCTGATGAAGCGCGAATTTAGCCGCCAAATCGCGGAACAAACCATCTCTATATAACTAACTGTTCGCCGCCACCGCTCTCGAAAAATTTACCGTACTTGGAAGTACATTTTGCGGCGATGGGATCGAAGGAGTCGCAATTATTATTTTTCTCTGCCATGAGAAAGGCAAACACACTCACAACTCGGAATTAGCCTTATCAAAATTGGCACATCTTCTCAGACGTTTTTCACCAGCAATACCCACAAGTTTTGCTCAACTTTTATCTATCCACCGCGGCGGGAATGAAAAGCGCGGCAGCTCGTGCTCATTGGGTTTCAACACAAAGCCAACAATGGTGCTTTCTTGGCCTGACACGGTGCAATGAGTTTGAAAATTGCCAAATTCGGTGACGAAAAATTTCCTTCGAAACAAAAATTGTCTCGCATTAAAATTAAAATTATTTATTCATCAACAAGATTTATTCTGATTTAAAAAAAAAATGAATAATTTTAAAAACTGACAATGAGAAATTTTGTTTAGTAAATTTATTAAATTTTATTTATTTATTATTATAAACCAATCAAATAATTTATTATTATTTGCTGCTCAATGAATGAGTAAATGAAATTAAATAAAAAATATATCTGTTGATAAATAATGGGGTTTATGTGGGGGTGAATTTTGCAATTCCCACATTTTTTGGATGCTCCCCCTGTTAATTTAAAACTTTGCTGTTAATTTAAGCGCCAAGAAAATGGCACAATCTGTCTCTGCTTACTTGAGCTTCCTCATCTCATCACAAGGTTTTGCAAAATTAATGATCGCGTCCCCTTGGGACATGTTTTATGAACGAGACGCTCCACGGGTCGATCACCCCTCTCACCCTTTTGCTTCCCCATCTTATGGCTCCAGACGAGCCACCCTTGCTGGCACCAGACTTCAGCGAAATAAATCAAAGGACAATTTTTTTATGAAAACGTGCCTGAAGTCTGAAATTTTCAGATAGTTATGTATCCCCCCACAGCTGGTCTATTCTTAGCCCTGGGGCGTCACACAACCCCTACATTAAAAGCAAACGAGTAATTGTCACCGGCTCATTTTCGCGGGGCGTGTTAGTTGTCTCTGGCTTGAGCCGGGGCGATGAATGGAAATAAAAAAAGTTGCAGCGCCATTCACACTTGCTTGCTCGCACGCCCGCCATGGCGTATAAAATAGATTTCGATCGAGATAATTGATAGGCTGGTTAACGCCTCCCACTCGGCGCCGCAATGAATAAGTGCGCCTTTCTTCGCTTTGTTAGCACATACACATAAGCACAGAGGCTAAAGAGATCAAAAAATCCATGACCCAAAATAAATGACAGGTGTTTTTTTGTTATTTTATCACTTTCTGGATTTAAAAATTTGAATGTTACATAAAAAGCACGCATTTTCAAAAATTGGTAAATAAATATGGTTAAATTTTGTGTCTTGTTTCATGTATTTGATTAGTTTTTCTCTAACCAGGTCCTTTTGGGTCGCGTGCCGAGGGCAAAAGAAGCGGCTGCGGTGTCGGGCGGACGCGTGCTGTCCATCGGTCCCAGCATTTGTGCGTGGCGGGTGCATCTGCCAATGCGCGTCTGCTCCTCGCCCGTTTCTCTCACCTGTCGCCGCCGCCGATCGCACAAATTATTCGATCGGTCGGTCCGTTTGTGAAAGGTGTGCCTTAATTTCGGGAGCGACAACACATTGCCGGCGCGCTCGTACTTTTTGTAATACGTTTTCTCGTGATATAACAGCTTGCTGCCGGCTTGGTTTCCTGTGTGCCAAATCCAACCGAAAACCGACCAACTTAATTACACCGAGTTTATTCTAATAAGAAAAATAAAGCAGTTGGCTCAAGGAACGAAAACCGAGTCGTCACGCTTTTCGGCCCCCGGGGAAAATTATTTATTAATTCTCTTTATTTTTCATGCTATTAATTTTGAGAGAGCAGAGACCCCGCTGCAGCCGCGGAGAGAGAGAAAGAAAGCGAGCGATTTGGGTAATTGAGGTGCAGCGTAAATAGTGCCCTTGATAAAAAGTATTATTGTGGAGCAGATTGCGGTGTGTTGCGGCTAATACGGCACCTAGGAGGCTGAGAGTACGCACCTAACGGCACCTGACGCCGTTGGCCTCAAGGACCAACTATTCACGCTCCTCGCGCGATGCCGCCGATCAAATATCGGTACTCGGCACGCTACTCACTCAAACCGTCGCCCAATCAAAGCATTATCTGCTCCGGTTTCCAGCAGCCCGGAATCGGGACGCCCGACCCTCAAACCTGCCGAAGGACACGACGACCAACTCGAGACGTGCGTGGGATGTGATCTGGCAATTAAAACCCGCTCCCCAGCAGCAGACGCATTTTTGTTTCATTAGATGTCTCCTATTCAGATTAAAAACCTCTATTTAATGAATATTCCTGTTTAATTTTTTTTTATTATTTCATTACATTATAATATTCGATAAAAAAGTTCATTGATAAGAATTTATTCACAAATGCGAAAAGCGAGCGGCCTTTATGTTGTTGAGAAACTTGACCATGTGATCACTGGACTTCAAACTGGTTCTTTGGAATTTTTTTTTACTTCTTTATATTAAAGTTCTTTTACAGCAATTTGAGTCTGCGCATTTTTTGAAACATTTTATTTTATAAAAAAAGTAAAATTTTTATAAAAATAATTTTCATTTGCATCTGATTTGAACAAAACTTTTACTAATGAAAGTGTCTGGATAAATAAGTATACAATACGGTTTAGCTTAACAAATTTGAATTGTTATTGCCACACAAGTCCTGCAGCCTCTGGTTTATGGAGTGGTCATGCTCGCCACGCCGACGAAAAAGGAGCGCGCAATATTATTATAATATCACTGCGAGTGCCCTTGATTAGCTCAGGGTCTGCATCAGGGTAAGGAAATGAGGTGTGACTTACCGCGCCGGGCCATGTTTGGCATGTTATCGATTGGCAGAGATGTTTTCACGCGTGAAATTTCCCTATATGAAGCTATCATACATTTTTTCCTGACGAACTGCTTTTTGTTTTTCAAATTGCTGCGACAAATCTAGAGGCGCGTCATTTTCGCACGAGGCGGATGATAGTAATTGACGCGCTCCGAGAGGGGTCAAAAAATGAAAATTGCCTCTCCTTTTGGCGAGCAATTACCCTCTGCTGGAGGGAATAATATATAAAAGAAGACAGGCCAAAAGTGTATATTTACAAAGACTTGTTGTTTGGTGTGTGTGAATTCAACAATGAATTATTTATTCGCAGCAGCACACCGATGAGAATATGAATAAAAAGCGCCCAAGAGAAGATTCACATCGTGTATGGATGGCTGCTAAATAAAATGAGCAGCAGTTTTTGCCTCCAAAATTTTCGTATGTGCCTCTAAAGAGAGCAAGGAGGAGGAGGAGGAGGAGGCAGCCAGCTAGAGCGCACTATGCGCTTGACTGCATTTTCTCATGGAGGTCAAAACAATAGTTGATTGTGTATATCTGCGGCGACGCCGGTTTAATTTCGGAAAAAAAGCTTTACACGCATTCCGCGGCCCCCTACACGTGCAAGTGCATGCGTTCGACGAATTTTCCAAACAAACTGCTTTGAATCTATTAAGAATTCTTTTCTCACGCGCTTCATAATTAATTATATAAAATTCCAGAACTTTTGTTGGCTCTGTGTTGGATGCCGAAACTGATTTAGAAAAGAAATTGAGTTGTGAACGGTGGCCAGTAAATCAACACCGGAGATAAAAATCTCAAACTTCCTTTTTTACCGTTTTAAATCACCACTTTTTGTACTACTTGATGATTTTTCATTTGCTTCTTGTGATATTTGCAGATAATCAAAATCAGCAAAACAAGCAATATCATTAAAAAATTATAATTTCAATAATATTTAAATTTAACTTACACAAAAAATATACAAATTTTATTCAAATTTGCCTGACCAAGATTTTAACAAAAAAGAAAGATATTTATCTATCAGTTTTGCGCAAATGAGCACAAATATTTACATAAAAAGTGAAGTTTTTTTTTTAAATGCTTTAAAAGGCTTTTAAAATGGTATATTGTATATGATTTCGAAACCGGCCCGCTGCTTTTGCGGAGCGAATTTAATCCATTCACGCGGCGTGCAGCTTCCCGGTTTGATTGACGTGGTGACGAAAAGTGAAAGAAAAGCATTGCCGCGAGTGCACGAGATGTATTCAATATTATTTTCTCCGGCAGCGCCGCCGGCCGGTGCGTATTGGCAACGAGGAAGTGAGCGCCGCCGCCGCCACCGCCGAGTGCAGAAAGGTCACAATCGAGGTCAGCAAGCGGCTCCAATATAAAAAGAATAAGTGCAGCTCTCTCGACTCTATTTATGCAATTTGTTCCGCGCATGCACGAAATGCTCGCGAGTGCATCGCAGCGGTAGTGAGAAAGCAGAATAATCTCAAGTTTTTTCGCCGAGCCGATTCTCTCCCACGATTTGCATTTATTTATTATTTTATATATGTATACACACCACAGAAACACGTCGCCTTTATTTGTCTTGTCTCTCACGTTTATTGAGAGATTCAATTCAGATTTCTCTCTCCCTCCCCGGTGGGCTTTTCTCACACAGAACCAATCTTTGGTTAGAGAAGCAACACAAAAATTTTCGCTAAGTAAGCCGTAAACTTAATTAATAATGACCGAACGCCGTGATGAGAGACGAAGCGGTTCCCATTACTTAAAAATTCATTGTTGTACGCATTGGCTTGGGAAAATTTGTTTTCCTTTGCAAATAATGCAAATGTCCTATTTTAATTCAATCCTCTTAGTATCAATCTAAATTTAAAAATGTCTAGTTTATTGTCTAAATTTGAAGTAAGTTTTCTTCGGCAAAAAATGATCTCAAAATAAAATTGGTACTAACCCTTGAGGTCCCATTTTGCTGTTCATCGTGCTGGACGAGATTTGCTGGTGCATAATTGTGGAGGCGCGGAGCCCGCCGCTGCCGTCGTCGGCGCCCTTTGAGCAGCCACGACGTCTCCGCGGCGCCGCCGCTCTGCTGGTGGCCCTGCTGCCGGGCCCGCCTGCGTTAAACTGTTGATGCTCGGGGCCACTCAACCCCTCGCTCTCATCCAAGCGACTCAAAATCTGAAATCAAAATTGAGAGAAGAATAAGAAGCTGTACAAAATGGTAATTCAATAATGTTTCTAAAATCTCTATTAGTATTTGAGGGGTCTTGACCCTGACCTTCCGACCTCATGTTGCAGGTCGCAGTTCAATCTTAAGTGGTCTTGAAGAATTTTTTTTACATATCATTTAAGATAATGGCATTGTTCTTTAAGATATAGTCAGTATAATAAGCATGTAAAATTAAATTAAAACATTTTAAAATTATTAATTTAAATAAAATATACATATTATGTTGTTTTATTTTATAACCTTCAATTTAAATCAGAGTTAAAAATTGATTCCACTGAATTTAACTTTAGTTAAGGGTTAATCCAAGTAAACGACATGGAAACAGTTAACAAGCTTATAAGCGCCGTTCAGCCCTTGCAAACCTTGACTTTTCTCTCTTGTTCACGCTCGCGATAAAATCGTTGTCGCGTGGCTGATAAATATTTACAATCAATTAGAGATGTAAACAAGTTTGAGGCCGCACCGCTCAGCTTCTTTATCAAGCACGTCGTCTCAATCAACAAGGCACAAGGGTCATTATACCATCGCAATTAGTCAATAATTAATTAATTAATTATTTAACAGCCTATTCCGCCAGCCCGCCAGATAATTTGGTATAATTCATCTCTCCGCAGTCATCACTTCTCTCACATTTAGAGAAAATTTCGCCTCGAGAGAAAAGCAACTGGAACAAAAGCAGGGAGGCACCTGCGCCATCCATCGCGTGAATGCCTAAAATTTATTTATTATATTTCCACCATGGAATATGTTGATGGGGATAGGCAGCTGCCCGCGAGATTCACCTGACCGCAAAGGGTGAACAAAACTCCATATTAATTTTATATGACCGACTCGAATGAGGCAAAAAAGAAAGAAAGGGTGCTTTCAGAATGATTTAGTGCCTGGCCAACCCTCGTCAGTGTTCTTAGAGTTGAGGTAGGTCTGGTTGAGGCAGAAAAAATTGAGCGTTCAAATCTGTCTCTGCGGAGCAAAAAAAATGCTCTTATTGGAAAAATTGAGGCGCTACGATCAAAGCGAGCAGAGATAAAGTTGGGAGGAATTTCTTCTTCTTTCAGGGTAATAAGGAAAATATTTTCAGGTGGTGAATGCGAAAGAAGAAGAAGAAGCAGGAGCGTTTTGTGATTTTATTGGGGCTCGCTTTGAGCAGCGACAAAAGGAGCAGCAAAGAGCAGGGAACTGACATCTCGTCAGTTTCCCAGGCCAAGCGCATACCTCAGCATCAACCGCGCGACCTTTAAAAAAATATATGAAAGAACACCCCCACGTAAAGAAGGAAACTCTCCCCCGAGAGACATCAGGGTCGCGTCCCAACTCCTGGTTTACGCCGAGAGAAAAGATGGGCCGGTGTACTTAAATGGAAAATAATAAATACGTGGAAGGTAAAATGAAAACCACCGTCAGAGCACATCAGAGAAGACCATAAATAACATAAAAATATCACCTTTTACTAAATTCATTAATACATTAATTTCTGTTTCATTTCAAAACGAATTTAATTCAGTTTTGAACAGTTTTCTGTGGACTGCAAATTGACACGTGGTTATGGTGGTTGCGTTTGACGGGAAACAGCAATTAGAATGAATAAAGAGGCGCGACTGAAATCGATATTTGCTTCTCGCCGCGCGGTGGGCAAAGAAAAGAGGAATGCGGTCGGAGGTCTGAGGGGATGGAGGCGCGCCACCGCAGCAGCTCTCTATAATATTGTATCGTGCATCCCCTTTTCTTTCTTTAATCGTCCCAGGTGGGTGAAAAATAATGCCCCGCTTGTTAAGACGTGGATCGAGAAAGAGAAAAAAATGGCTCGAGCCAAAGGAGCTGCGATCGAGGGGGCAGCTGACAAACAGACACAGCAGGGACGTCAGACAGGTGATCATCACATCTTGCACCCGTAGCCTTCTTGAAAACGGCACACAGTCCTCCCGTATGATATGCACGCACAATAAAAGATAAAAAAAAAGAAAGATACGCAGGCCCCATTCAATGAAAAAATAAGAAACCTGGGGGCTTTTCTTAGTTCCAAGGGCAAGATGTCTTTCCTGAAGATGTTTGAGGCCCATTCCAAAATAATTTTTAGTTTGTAGAAGGATTTCCACGATAAACTGTTCATTCAAACACCATAATAAGTCTAAATATTGATGATAGGAATATAGAATTAAAATTTATTTTAATTTTAAAAATCAAATAAATTGTTTTGATTTCTGAAAAAATACAAAATAATTGTTTGCATAAATTAATTGCAGCTAATTGGATTAAGAATACTAGGATTTTCTATATTGCTTTTTTTTCTTGGGAGCAAGTCAGCGCATTCTCAGAGGTTGTTGATTGTTCGCATCGGGGCGGAAAGAGTTGTTTGAAAGCAATGCGCGATGAAAAAGTATATAAAGTATAGCCTATTTATTCCACGCAATGAAACAAAGGCACAGAGGACGCCAGCACCGAGCGTGCCCTTGCCAGGTGTATCTCAGGGTCCGGCTTTCAGGGTAAGAACCGGCGCATTGCAAGCATCACGTCAATCAGACACTCGTCACGATTAAATATTATTTTTTATAAACTCTGCAAACATCAAGAGAATGGGAGAGAAGAATTGAAAACCGTTCATTCAAGTCTCTGAGAAGGTTCTGGACTCTATTACAAATATGATTTTTTTTAGAATTCAATTTAATTAAATTACTTATCCAAAAATAGTTGCTAAATGAGGTTTCTCTATAAATATCCAAAAATCAAATATAAAATAATCGCACGCAATTTCTCATTTGTTTTTATTAATTGTGAGAGGGGAAAGTCCTTGGTTGCAAATTAAAAATGATCAGTTGGAAAACTTCAATAATTGAAATTTTTGAGTACGGAGTGAAATTTAAGTACGCAGTAAAGACATGCAGGAAGTTAAGTCGGCCGGTGGTTATTTAATAAAGCTGTCGCAGAAAGAAAAGGAAAGGTCAACAATGGAGCAACCGAATTGAGTGACTGCAGAGGGAGGACTCGGCGGCCGCGTCAGTGAAAGTGGAGCGCAAATCTCTCGCCGCTCGATCCAGTTGCCCAATAACTCACTGCTGCGCTGCAGCACAATTCATTTACACTCTCTACATACAAGGCGCAGAGAAAGAAACTTTCATTCAGTTTCGCACCGAACGACGAATTGCGCTATTAGTGGGCCGAATTTGCGCGGCCTACCTCAACACCCCGTCAGACTTCTTGATTTGAATTTTATCTCAGGTCCGGGCGCAAAAAGCAAAACCTGTTGCCAAAGTTAATTCTCAACGAGTTGCATGTTTTTCCACGCTGCGCGCGGCGAAGAACAAAAAAAGTTCAAACTGAAAGGCGGAAACAAAGGGGCAATTTCGGAATCACGAAAACGCAATAATCGATTCGGTGTTAGTGTTTGATCGTAAAATGCAAATGAATGATTGGCAAGTCGAGGAAGAAGTACACACGTTTGCGCCGAGAACAACAGGTGGGAGTCTGTCTTTCGAGCTGTGTGTGTGCCGGGTGAAAGGGAGGGACGAATTTGTTATTTTTGTATTATGAACGAGTGAGCGAGAGACGATTTCATTTGAATATACCGGCGAGAGACGGCGGAGAAAAAAGCGGCCGCCGCTCCGGATCGTTGTTATTAAAGAGAAATCCATCCTATTTAGCGTGATTGCACTGGCTCTCGTCAGCGGTATTGTGGAGGCGTGGGAGTTGCAGAGAGAGATGTGCACGGGTTTCTCTCCGCTTGCCCCGCGGCAATCCAAAAAACCACCTCGAATTTTCCGCCTTCACTCCACTCCCAAACTAAATTCTTTGCAAAGCTCATTATCTCTGGAAAAAAAATTAATTTTAGCTGAATAAAAATTGATTTTAAACAATATTTAACATTAGATTGGAAAAAATTTTGTTGTTAATCTTTTTAAGTATTGAAATTATTAGAATTAAATTAAGATTTAATTTATCATTAAATTCATTTATTCTATTAATAAATAAATATTTATTTATCCTCCATAATCCTGTACAGATCATATTTCAGGTTCATTTCGTCGAGGATTAGGCTGGTCGCCGAGCGAAACGCCAAATAAAGGTGCGCACGTTTTGTGTGAGTTTGCGATTAAACGCGTGTGGACGCGAGTAAATTTGGAGATTAAGCGGACAAAAAATGCGGAGATCAGCGCCAATATTGACTCTGCCGGCCGATCTTGTAATAATGTTTGGTCACGCCGCAGTCGCTGTTAGTCGGTATCAAATAATAAATTTCATGCGCGCATATTTGTACATATTCCAAGAGAGGAGCAGTTTTTTGTTCGAAGAGCTGCAGAGCGGTCGAGGCAAACGAGAGAGGAGGAAAGATGCTCTTTCTTTCTCTCTCTCCCCTCTAAATGTTTTAATTTCGGAGAGCGAGCAGGTAATGTGCCCACTAACAGGATGTTTCACTCACTCCTCTCCTCTGCCGAATATCATTTTTTTTTATATAAACTCCTTCGGCTGCTCCTTGCTGGCAGCCCGAGCGAGCTGAGCCGAGGCGAGCGAGCATCTTTTGTCCGACAGTGATGCCTCCCAGAAATCATTTTCTCACGGAGCGAAAAATAAAGAGAAGCGTAGGAAAAAACGTGACAAACGGGGAATCTTAATGTAAGGCACCGCTTGGTCTGTAAAAGGGTTCACATTTGGTTGCTACATTCGCAAATTGCGAGAAAAATAAAAGAACGATTGAAGGAGCATAATAAGAGTTTTAAAAAAAAATTTCTTCTCTAAAGAGTCAGTTTCAAATTTCACAAGTATGGTAATTTTGGTGACATTTAAAAAGAGAAAATGGAAAATATATATAAAAAAAAAAAATTTACAAATAAGCAAAATTTTCAAAGAAAAATAAAATTTTCTTGTTCGAAAATATGAAATAATTTGGAATCTTTTCTTTTCACAAAGGCCAACTGAAATTCGTGACAGAAAAAGTAAACAATCAGAGCAATCTATAATAATAAAAATAAATTCAGAACTATGGTACATGATTGAGGATTATTTCACCCTCACTTCATTGTTATTGGCTACAAAGAAAGTGGAAGGGAGACGCATGACTAATGAAACAAAGGCCTTAATTTGAATATGCGCGCCAACGTTTTGAGTTGCCCCTGCGAAGAGACTCGGAAGAAAATTAATATTAATCAAATTAGGTACAAGGCTACCTAGGACAACAGTTGTAAATTTTGAAATGAAAATTTTCTATAGAAAAAGGGGCCAATTGTGATGAGTTTCCAAAAGAAATTTGTGCGCGCAAACGTTCCGAAAGTAAAAAAAATCGTGAAATTAAATTTGAAAATTCCCATTGTTATTTGCCATTATGCACAGCACTGAGGCTGCGTGTGCGATGCCTGGCGGATGAAAGACGAATTAAAGAGCAAGGACGTCGCATTTAAAGGGACGATTTTACGAAAATATCGATTTGTGAATCACGAAAATATTTCCAAAATTAAGGGTGACGGCCAAAAAAGCAGCATAATTTACCGCACAATTTGAAGCTAAAAAAAGAGGATACACTTCAGCTCAGGGTCGCTAGGTACATCAAATCAGATTTTTTTGTAATGAAAAGTACAAATATCTATGTTTCTATTGCTTACAAGTCCGTTTGCAGACAACTCCTTTTGTGGGCAACTACGTTGTGGGTTTGCGAGCTTCGGGCTGGAGGCGCGCTCGCCCGAGAACGTGGTGAAGGCCGGCTCCGGGCGGGACAAAAGGGCAGGGATCGTGGGGGGGCTCCTGCGGAGCCCCCCCACGAACACAGCCGCCCTTTTGTCCTCGCCCTCCGCACGGCCTTCCCCACGTCCTCGACCTCGCTGCGCCTCCACCCCTCGCTCGCGGCTTCTGCAAAAATTAATCTTGGGGGTTGCCCAACTCCGAGTTGCCGGTTCGTGGGGTGCCCCAAGTCCCATGTGCGTTTGCGAGCTTCGCTCGCACCTCCCTGCAAAAATTAATCTTGGGGGTTGCCCAACTCCGAGTTGCCGGTTTGTGGGGTGGTCTGGTTCGTGGTGTGCGTGCAATTTCCCCTCACGTGGGAGTTTTGCAAAAATCAATTAATTCAAAATTCAATCAGGATTGTAGAGTACCAAAAGATATCGCCCTTAAATGCCTTAAATCGATAAAATTGTCCCATTTTATGCTAGTTCATTAATACACTACATGTGGCGTGACGGTTTTTTAAGAGGAAACTCCCGTCTAGGTGGCGTTTTTACATCTGTATGCATTAAAAGTAGTTAATAAACGCCTAATTTTATTTCAACTCTCATTACTTCCCATTTCATTTGCGCCGGCTTTTCTTTATTGAGAAATGTTCAGCACACTATGAGGAATGTTTTGATATAAAAAAATTTCATTTTGACAACTGTTGTCCTCAATGAACTTCTGCCCAAATGTCAATAAATTCGGCATTCTTTGGCACCAGAGATATTTTCTGAAGCTGAGGATGAATAATTGATAAAGGATTGGCGAGCTGAGAACAAAACTCACGGCATCGATGTCAATGGCCTTGCCCCAGCGGGCGCTCGGCGGATTCGCCTCCTGCTGGCCCGTGTCGCCGCTGATCATTTGAATCCTAAAAAATGGTATCGCGCAATTCGATCGTCGGACACGCACTCACGCGCGCGCGAGAGAGGAACCAAGTGAAAAGTTTGGGCGTCGCAGCCGAACTGACCCGGCGATTTATTTTTCTTCCAGGGGCCACACAATGAATTTTGTTTCGGGTACAGCGCTGAGAGCAAATTATGCTTTCCATTCTTTGTGTCAAAAAGCAGCTCTCTCTCCAATCCCTGCGCGTTCACAACATTATATTCTTTTGGCTAAACAAACACCCCTCTGGTGCAGGCAGGAGCAGCGAAAGAAAGAAAGAAATGTCCTGCCCCATTCGGCCGGCCGCGCGTCGCCGCTGGAAAAATTCCTTTTGTTGCCTTGCCCCTTGTTAACAGGAGCGTCAACAAAATAAATATTTTTTGGTTCGCCGGCGTCCCCCGCGATCAACTGACCGCAATGTTTTGCACCTCGTTGCCCCCCGCGAAAGCGGCAAGAGAGTTCGTTTTGTGACCCAAAAAGTGCCGCGCAATGATCGAGTGCGATAAATTCGCCCGAGAGCTCAGTTGCGCCGGCGAAATTGTCTTTCTTGATATTGGGTCAGATGCGGTCTACTATAAAGCCCCGACCTCAAAATGCACAACTTTCGAGTTGAAGGAAACAACTTCTTGAATCAAAGTACTGAGGAAATTATGTTCTGGATGAAATGTTGAAAGGTTGAGATTTATAATGTGTATTCCCGAGTGCAGCTTCCAGAAATCCGATAAGCGGCTAACGAGTGGTGCGCCTGGAAGGTAGGCAGCGCGCAGATTGTTCACTCCGCCGCTGGCACTTGCTCCGCTCAATCGTGGGTGCGCGCAGCTTGGCGAGGCCGCCACCAGGGTGCTCCACCAACCGCGACTCGGCTCGTTTCACGGTGAGCAGCCAGAGCCGTTTTCAACAAGCCACTTGGCCATATCCACCAGCCAGATAGGTCGCCGGCGTCGGGACCTTCTTGCTGGCGGGCTGTTGTGCAAAATATTATTTTGATCACCGATAAGATATTTCATCTATATTAAGCGTGTGAAGCTTCTAATTGAAATTATTATCAGCAATCTTTGTTTAATACTTTCCGGTTTAAAATTAAATCAAAATGGACTAATCTGCATTTAATTCTAATAAATAATCCGGAAGTAAAAATTTAGTCTGAAATATGGAATTGTCCCAGTAAGAGAATATTGTGGCGATAATACTACATGTCATATAATTTTTCCCAATTTAAAACTTGTTTGTATTGACCGGGAAGAATAAAGAATCACAATATACTTATTTAATTGATAACAGTATAACGAAAATTAGCAAACAAATTATAACATTAACCTTAACCACATTAACCTAGCATTTTGTAGAAGCAGCACGTTTATACTTCAACTTTATTCTATCAAAATTACAAATAAAGCAGAAGAAGCAAAAATATTTATGATTCTTGTTTATTGAAGCATTCTGCCTAATTAAGATTTCTTGTGGTTAATAAGTAAGACGTTATGGCAAATTTTAATAGTCTATAGCTAACATTCTAAATTTTGATAATTTGCGATTCATTATTTCTCTCCCACACCCTTTGTTAAGTCATGACTCATTTCACTTTATGTGTTTAAATCCACTTGATACTGTGATAATAGCAGAACTTCAATTCTGCTTCAATTATTTATTAATTATTTTCCAAATTATTGAAACTTCTAAATAAATTAAGTTTTCCAGCATTATTTGTGATTATTTATAAATTTTGGAACATCGTTTTCTATATTCCTGTATATTATTCCAAACGGAACTTGGAAGAAAAAAAATTGAAAAGAACCAACCCTGCAAGGCAGACGGCCCTGTTTGCCGGTTCCCCCACCCTGACGCAGCGCGAGTGGCAAAAAACGCGTGCGGTGGTTGCTCGCCCGCGCGGCGGGGCTCCCCTATCGGAGCGTATGGATTGCAGGCAGGCAAGGCGCGCAATGTTCCACGCGGCGGACAAACGGATGGTTGGCGGATATTTACGCGAGAGAGAGAGAGAGAGTGGAGAGAGGGATGACGAGCACCCGAGTCTGGTCGGGGAGGCGCCGCCGCTTTTGCTGCATCGCCCGTGCTAATTAACATTTCAGCTCCGACGCCCGCAAAATTGCCGCTGCCGTTTCATTAAGCCTATACGTGCCACAAAAAGAATTAGAAAAAAAAAATTAAAAAAAAAGGAATAGTTCTGCTTCAGCTAACAACGGCAGTCGAATCGCACTCATTGGGTGAAGGGTCAACGACCTCACAAAGTAATCAAAGGAGATTTGCATGGAAAGAAACTTTCGGGTTTCGTCGTTCACGCACTCTGATTTCATAATAGCTTGTTTTATTTCCCAAAGAGCGTGGGCGTGTTTCATTATTCCGATTGTGCGGCTTGGCAACCGCGCCTAATTGTCACCGCAGAAAGGCCTCGGCCAAATAAAACACAATTTATAACAATATCAAGTGATCGTGAAATCGGTGAACAAAGTTCGCTCTCGGTAATCAAAAAGAAAAGATTATTATTATTGCGTTTAAAGGGCCGATGGGTGGCGATGGTTTGTCTAATCGCGGGGTGTTGATACATCATTGCGGGGGAAGCCCGGCCACCCCCTCCCGGCGATCAGCGGCCATCTGTCAGGCCACCCTCCCCTGCCACCCACCCGTTTAATTAATTTACACGCAGGCTTCTTTCCAAAGTAAGCGTGAGACAAATAGTCCGGCTCGACGGCTTAATTTGGGGCCAGTGACTGCTTGGATCGATTTCTACTTCATTATTTTGTGCAGCTCCTAAAACATCAGGCCAAACTTTTATCTGGCAGCTGGAAGAAATGATCAAATAAATAAAAAAAGTCCAGACTGGTTTATTTATTGATAATAGAGTGTCAAAACTGAAATCGATTTTGGAGCAGAAAAAGTTCTCATAATTATTTTTAATGTATTTTGAATTTTTTAGGGTTAAAACTGGATTTCAAAATAAAATTCAAGTTTTTAACCCCATAAATAACCAATATTGTTTTGATTTGACATCAAATTTGTATTGACCGAGAAGAATAAATAGTTATAAAATTATTATAGTTTATTAAATTCAATTAATGAGACGCTAAAAATATTTTATGACACGGTTAAAAAATGCTGTTCCAAAAATTAGCATCAAAAGATTTAAATATTTTTTTTTCAATTTGGTAATTAAATTGAGGCTAATGGAAAATTTTGTGCAACAGTTCATTTCTCTGAGATCATCCGACTTTAATGAACCTAATCAATTTCTAATTAATTGGTCAATTAAATAATTAGCTCCGAGACGCGCAGTCAGCAGTTTTCGTATCAACACTCCTGGTTCAAAGTTGATCCCGTGAGGGTCACTCGGCACCAGCAGTCAGCATGTTTGCGAATTTTACGGCGCGCGCACCTTTTTTCAGGGTCGGGCTAATGCGGTTGTCAACAGCGCTTTTATTACAGGGCTACCTCTCTTTTCATCTCTGGCAGTCGAGATAAAATAAATTCCATCTTGGCTTCCAAGCAGGTCAAATAAAAAAACCTATACTTGTGCATATATATGGCGAAAGCGTGCAATTCCATCTTTTGTCCCGATCTCGCCGCTGCAGCAACGGCAATGCACCAAAATGCATTTGTGTGCACGTGCAGCCGACCGACTGGGTTTGTTTTCGAAGTGAAAGGTTTGGCATTTTCGGTGGCATTCAAGTGAAAGGATAAGCAGCGAAAGCCAGCACTTGCTAATTATTAATACAGATAAGTTTTTATGCCGCAAATTTCAATTTGATCACCAGAGGCTTGTCAGAAACATTGGCAATAACAATAATATGCGATACCAACAATTTATAATTATGCCTTAAAGCAAACTAGGTATTTCGCCAATAAATTATATAGTGCGTTGAAAGTGAATAAAACAAAAAATTTAAATATTATAAAAACGGATAATTGGCTAAGTAAATAAAATTCTTATTGAATTTGCCCATTTTTTTTTTGCGTACCAAGTTTATAGAACAAAGTTCAACTAAAAATTATTATTTTAAATTATAATAATTTGATTATTCATTATTATTTACTTTATACCAAATTCCAAATTAAAAAATTTAAATTTATTATTGTCAATGCATTTCGCATAATATTTGGAATACAATTTTTAAGAA